CACATCTTCTGAGCCAAGTGGAAATACAGTATGAGCTAAGCAAAATAGAGTTTTGTGTGTGGGATGGGGTTTGTTTTGGTTTTTTTTAAACAATGTGAAGAGCAAGCAAAAAGCCCGAAATTATGAAGCAACAAATATTAGAGTTGGAGCTGAAAATAAAATCCAACTTGGAGGCAAAAAAGGTGAAACGAAAAACATTGCATTAAACCAATGTTACTTTGATGTTGGATTTAAATCTGAAGAAATGCACCAGCCCACGCAGACATAAAAAGTATAAAGAAGTCTAATAGTATGTGAACTCCAGAGCACAGCCCATCTGCTGAAAAATAAAAGCTACTAAAGATGGACAGCTTTACTGTCAGGGCATCCACATGCAGAGACTTCAGGGCACTGAACAACTTCAGCTGACAGTCCTCTCTCCTGGAAAGCCTTGATCTCAAAGAGTTAAGATGACTGATTTATACCCAACAGCAGCTGTTCTATCAACGTTGGTGGGGGAACACAGAGAACTGGAGAGCAGTGGCAGCACTTATATATGAAAAACAGTATTACATGGTGTCAAGGAAGGAAATTAAAGCTAAGTAGATGGATGGCCAAATGTTTGAAAGGACTGATTACAACAAACCTAATATGAAGTTTGACCTACTCAGTCTTGAGCCCTCGGAAGGCTCAGCCTCCATCGTGCAGAGGTGGAATGGACACGTTGGGAGTGGGACTAGGAGCTGCAGGCAGGCTCACTAACAGCACTTTTAGCGCTCAAAAACTTTGGCCTTTGTGGAGAAACAGTAAACTCATGGCACAGATACGGTCATTTCAACTTTGTTCATTTTACTGCAGTAATAAAGATAGTGCTTTACAGATGCCACAGTTGATACACGCAAAAAAGTGGGAGTAGATAATTTCCAACTTTCTTGATTAAAGCACACACTCCTCACCAAGGTGTTAAAAAAAAATAATTAAACAATCTCTTCCCCCAAGTTTTCAAGATATTTCTTTTGCCAAAGCATGTTTTCAAAACCTGCTTTTTGCAGAGGATAGTAAGAAAAAAAGACCCAGCTTCTAATGCTGGAAACATTTCTGTGAAAATATCGAAGCGTTAGAATATCCTGGATTGCATTTAACCATTGAACAAGATTACAAATTAAGTAGTCTGAGAATTTCTGGTAGCTTAGTCCTGAAATAGTCCTTTTTTCCATCCACCACCCCCTTCACTACTTAACTCAAAATGCAAGACCAGTAAGAACACATGATACAGCCTGCACTGGTAGGGGCAAATACACGGCTGAAGTCACAGGAGCACATTCTTCAGGGCTCATGAACCATCACATGACAAACATCACAAGAAGCCAATTTACTAAATACATTTTAAACTTGAAGAAGTTAAGAATAATAATAAAAACCATTATGGAAACATTTCTTAGGAAAGGAGGAGCTACACTTGATAAGACAGCAGCAAACAACAAAGAAAAGATCAGTTCTCATGTTATCTGAAACTTCTGATTGCTAGTGCTACCGTCCCAGCTAGTATTGCTTAAGGTCCCTAATATATGCTTTTAATTACGTAGCTTACAGACAATAAAAAGTTGGCCAGCAGTCAGTGAAGACCTTATCAATAAGCCCCTCACAAACATACAAATATTTGAATTCAATTGCTTAAACTTGAGCTAAAACTTTTCTGATTCTGTATGTTTGAAAAGCAGCAGCCTATTCATTTGCTATAAAGCTTATAAGTAAGAGTGACTTCTTTTTTGAATAGCAAGAGGACACACAACCCACAATCCTTCTCCTCAGGTGTCAAGAAGTACTGACAGCTATTCAGAAGAAAACACATGCAAGGTCTGCTTCTGAGTCCAACCAGATAAATGGAAATAAAAGCTGAGCTGCCTCTTAACAAGATGGCACTGCACAAACTGGTTTTTACACTTCTATCTGTACTGATTTCTGTACCAGGACAAAGGAACTTGTTTTTTTCTTTTATTTCACAAGAGCCACTTTCATTGGAAAAGTCTCAAAGCTGTACTAACATTTTATCCCGACAATTTAATTAGGGATTGGTCCAATCCTGGAGCAATGGGCAACATTCAGGGATCCCAAAGGCTCTTCACTGTTTATAAAGGTTACAATGATGTGCAGGACCACTATCAAATAGATCACTGTAGACTCATCCTCGGGATTAAGTCATCTCTATTTGTGAGCCCTTATGTGATGATCTGTCTATTACAGAGCATAAGTACTGCATGAAAGCCTCTTCAAGGCCTTCACCACCATCTGTGAATTACATTATTAACAATGGTATGAACTTCCTAAGAGCATCTGGTTCTCTCCCCACCCCCTTCTCAAATCAGTGGAAAGAGCTCTTCAGTATCAAAGCAGGCGTGGAGGAAGCTGTTTTCCTCCTCTCCCTCTCTCCCTACCTCCTCCTGCCCCCCAACAGCAGAGGCTGGATGGGGCTCAGCTCTCCCTTTCCATGCCCTACGTGTATCTGCAGGGCTCTTGCTATCGTTAAACAAAGATGAACTAAAACAGCTAAGTGAGGCGTGTTACCACAGGCATTTTACTGGGAAAAGCGGAAGTTTATTTCATCATTTTGCAGAGGCAGCATCTGAAATATGCGACTGAGGCTGCAGAAACGCGTGTGCTGAGGCACAAGGAGGACACAGCACAGCCCTGCCCCGAGACCTCGCTTCTCACCATTCCTGAAGCTCATTAGGCCATGAGCTACATCACTGCTGGAGCTCACTTTCTAGATGCAAGTAAGCATTTTGTTATCCCAGCCCTCCTCCCCACCAAGCATGTTTCAGAAGCTTTTTGTGAAAACACGCCAGCTTCTTGTAAACAAGAAGAAGGAAGAGACAGTCTCACAGAGGACACCAGAGCATGCTCTCCACTGAACTTTGCACAAAGTTCACATCAACCAGCCTCCTTGGCTGCTCTAAGGGATCACTTACTCTTGCAGGAACAGAGTTCTTCCCATCTAACTTTCTACTGCTTGCTCTTCTTTTCCTGCTCTTCAAACCTAGCTTTTTCTCCTGCTCTTCAAACCTAGCTTCTTTTCTTGCTCTAGACCTAGGACTTTTAAAAGCTCCTCATCATCTCAACTTTCTGTACACATCATCAGCACTTTTTCCATTCTGTTTTTCCCCAGTATAATTCTTTAGTCGCATTTAGAGACCACAATTCAGGCAATATTGTTACAGCATCTTCCTCTGTCTTAAGTTAGCAGCAGTATTTCTCGAAAGAAAAGAGCTACATTACAGCCAGCTCAATAAAGCCTTCTATTCAGCAAGAAACAGCATCCAAAACAAACAATCCTGTAATGTGCAATAACAGGCAGAAAATACTGGGTGGGGGGAAGGAGACAACGATGTTTCTGCACAAATTCACATGAACCCTTCTTCTAACATACTGCTTCTCTCATGCCCATGTTTCAAATTAATAAATAAATAATCAGGGGTATGCTGAGATGCTCAGACACTCGCTTCTAGAACATACTCCCACTGTAATTACAGGTTAATACAGAATTTCTTCCAGTCTACAAAATAACGGGCAATTATGTTTATGTGGGGTCACCATCGCTCTGACGCGCTGCCCGAATGCCGGCTCTTTGAGTGGGTTTTAAGAGGAAGTTTGTGGTCACTGTTGACCTCCAGCTCGAGGGGAGGAGGAAGCTGGATGCACCCAGCTCCTGGCCTCCAGGACGGCTCTGCCAGGGTTTGATTTTATTTCGGTCAGGACTTGTCACTCTGCTTTGGGTGGCAGGTCAGGCTGGAGATAAACCACTACCCAGACTGCTGGAAAAGGGCAGAGCTGTGCTTTTATGCAGCCATTTAACCAAGTCAAGAGAGTCATAAGAAAATTAAGAAAGTTTTATGAGTGGCTTTAAAGTGATGGCTTAATACCAGAATCCCAAACTCTCATTGCCTATAGCTTATTGGGAGGGGTACAGGGAGAAGAAAAGCAAAGAAACTGGCAAGTCTTGGAGGAAATTAGTGGCAATTAGAGATGGGGTCTGCCAAGCCCAGCCCCCAACAGAGGAGCACAGCATCCTATCAAAAAGAATTTAGGATTGTAACACTGATATTTGACAGCAGCTAAAATTGGAATGGATTTCCATCTTTCAAAGGGTACGTACAGGTGACCATGTAATTGAATTAGCTAATATTTTGCTAAATCAGTGCATTGAATATCAGCCAATGAGCTCATTTTTGGAGGCAGTTCAATGCCTCACTTCTCGGACTGATGTCAGTGTCACATGCTTGGAGAGGATCAGTCTGCAGCTGGGTATTTGAAAGCCTTCTATGAGGAGTGCAGAAAAGTCAGCGGATTTCAACAGCATCAACTAATGAATTTGTGTTTTACCATAACAATTTAGTCACCAGACCCAGCTGTCAATATCTCTGTGAGAATATCGGGCTGTTTCAGACAGTTCCCTTTCCCTCTGCTTTAAGCCACTAGCTGGAAACTGAAGAGTGCAGCAACTAAGTTGTTTCAACAGAGAAAACAGAAAAGGAAATCAACAGCAAGACAAGGAAACAGGAAACTCTCACTGACTCTGACCTGCTCATGATAAAATGATTAACCATTAGGAGACTAAACTCATTAGTTGTAAAAATAAACAAACAAAAGTAGGGCAAAAGGTGTTGAGCATTAGTAGCACAAAGGCTTCAGGCAGTAACATTCAACCCTACGTTCAAATCCCGTTCACTCACAGACCAACTGTGAAGTCACATTTTATTCTGACATAATACAGAGATGTCACCAAAGGCCAGTGGCAAGTGTCCATGCAGTATCTGTGAAGTCCCCCACACTTTGATGCTCACACTTCGTACCAACAAGTAGGAACAGATTCTTGCATGACACAAATAAGCAGTGTCTTCATTGTGCAACCGCATGCGACTTTTTTGGAGAAAAAACAATGCTCAAACACAAGGAGTGTTGTGTGCATCAGGCTACAGAGTGGGTGGCAGTGGTGTTGTCAGAAAGCACTCAGCACTGCTTACCTCCACGCCCATTGACTTCAGGAGAAGGCTACATACGAAAAGTCTCTGAAGATGAAGCTGAAGGGTTCCCTAACCCATGGGGCTCTCCATACGCTATACTTAAGAAAGAGACAAAACAAAACAAAAACCACAGAAGTGAAGCAGCAGGAAATTGTAGCGCTTTCTTTTTCCCCCTGAAGACTCTTGCAGTCCCTGCTCCAGTTCAGAAATCAGAGTAAACACCCATCAGTTCTGAGCAAGCCCTTCACCAACCTGCCTGAGCCCTTCGCATCTCTAGAGCGTAGGATGAGAACAACGGTAATTTACTGCACGCTCACACCGCTCCCAGAAGGCCTGGGATGAAGATGCCTTGAAGCTTCACGTTCTGCACAACTGTTAAATTGTTGGGTGAGACTTGCTGGTTCAATCAGAGGCCGTATGGAAACACAGCCCTCACGTGTAGCACAGGGCAGGGCCCATTTCAAAGATCCCCAGGAGCTTCTCGCAAGAAACTTCACAAGCTCCGCATCTGTTTCAAGGGCAATTTTGTTCAACCTCATCCAGGCTACAATCTGATATAGTCTTAAGAACAGTCAAAGGCAAGAGGAACTGAAGTGCCATGAATGTGGAGCCCCATACACAGGGCTGCAAGAGCAACACACAGCTCGGGTCCCTCCAGAAAGACCAGGCACTTGAACTTCAGTGTGTATGAGACACAACCCACTCACACTGTGTGACCCTAGAGGTGGATAAATACCCTTGGTGGACAGACTGCAGCTGGGGTCGGGGAAGGTTATTACAACCAAGACAAACTACCTCACACTATTACTAGTAGTCAACTCCCAGAGGCTTCTGACTTATTTTCAGACTGTAGTTTTTAGCCTGGGCATTCAGCTGAAGAAAGGAGAGACACAAGGAAACAACAAGATCTTGACATGTACACGTTCTTATTCAGCTGCTTGTGGTTCAGTAAGACATTCCCTCTTGTTTTAGGATGAGGCTTATAAATTTAGCATACCTCAACGTTTTTAAAGCGAGCAGAATGCACCCTTCATTCCAAACTATCCCATTTTCAGCCAGAATTCCTCTACACAGAGCTCTGTTTTTTCAGAGGTTTGAAGCTATTTGGCAGTTGTATCAGGCCGGACCAGCCTGCACATTTTTCCTCTCTCTCTTTTTTTTTTTTTTTAATTTTAGACTTAATGTAGCATGTACTCTCAGAAAGGTTCACAATGCAGCCTTTTGTAGTTAACTTGCTCCAAGCTGGGCCACTGCCAGGTTGTTATCAATGACATTTTAAAGAAGATGAATGAAGTTCTTATGTACGGTGACAAGCAGAATTGTGATATGGCATATGCATACACTGAAAGAAGAGAGCTTGCTATTAGTTTGTCAGGTTAATAAATAAATAGTGATTTCATGAATAAAAGCCTTTTATTAGGAAACAAAAGAACAAAATTAATATTTATAAAGCTTTGGTGGTTTAGAGCACCCTTTAAAATAAGATTATTCCATTTCAGTCAGAGCCACCATCATGGATTAGAGATTCTTGAACACAGCTTCCCCTCCCAATTCTCTCATGGTGGCAGTGGGACACGGACAACAAAGCTCTGCCTTCTCCACTGCTCCTCCGTGAGTAAACTACTCACCCTGAGATTGACAATATTGAAAGCCCAGGGCAGCAAACAGCTTCCGTAACACCTTTGGGATTGCAGCTAAAGGCTGCACCTGCTGGAAGAGCTCTTGGTTCCTTATCCCAGCAGGAAGTTCTCACATTCTCCACGGCGTGCTTCCACCCCAGCAGAGGCACTGAGAGCCAGCCAAGCCACGGAGAGCGACGCCGCGCGTTAGCAAAACCCACTGCTATCAGAAATCAGCTGGCAGTGTCACTTCCCAGCCTGTGCCCACAGAAAATACCCTGGTTGCTGTCTCTCAACCACTTCAGGGTTCTTCAGCCTTTCCCACAGCACGTGCGAAGAAACATTCAGCAGCAAAGTGAAGCTTAAAAAGAGTGAAGTATGTCCAGGGTGCCCTACTTCATAGAAAGCACACGAAATTCTGACAAATACAGATCACTTCTCACCTCCTTTGCACATACCCCCTTTGGCTCAACTCATTCTGTGCCCATCTGCCCTAAACTGGCAAGTTTAAACTTTAAACAAGCCAAGGAGTTTTGGTTTGGGGTTGGTATTGTGTTTTTGGGAGGAGGTGTTTCTAGGAGGGGGTGCATGTTTGGTTTGGGGTTTGTTGTTGTTGTTTTGGGCTGAAGGTTTTTATTATTTTTAAAATGAAGCACACCAAGTTTAAAATCAAGATGTAAGGAAGCACTCAAGCTTAAAAATTTATTTTGGCTCAGGCCGCCTTCTCCCCAAATACTAAAACGATGTAAAACTTTGCCCTTCTCCTCAAGGAAAAGTCAAGTTTGAACTTCCTCACTCATAAGAGAACCAGACAGAAACTGCCCCAAAATAACTGTCTCAGCCATCTACAGTCAACACGAACAGATCTAAGTTAAACAGAGCTTCCTCCAGACAACAGCAGTTTCTGGTACATGTGTAAAAGAGAAAAATTCCACTTCAAAGACCAGAAGTGTGGGCTGGAGAAGCCTGTGGCACAGTTGTTATCTTTGCAGCATCAAGCACAAGTTGAGTTTGAGGATCTGTAAAGTACATGTGAAAAATATTCATTTCACCCACTGAGACTGTGCAAACTCTATTCCAGTCACACTATAAACGTTAACTGATGATGTTCCCCTTGCCTTAGAGTTAATAGAACTATGCTCAACTTTTGGGAAGGCATCTGAAAAGATGCTGTCTCTATTGTTTTGTCCTGATAGTCTCTTTTATTTAAGATTTGGGAGCAGAGCAGAAGCTGCACAGAAGGACGATTCACTCCCAGCACATCACTGAGGCAGTCACCCCCAGCCACCACACAGCAGAGCTGAGGGACACAGTGCCAGGCGGGCACAAAAAGCAAGAGATAACATTAATATTTGAATTCCACGTGTAACCATACTCACAAGTTCATGCAATATTAGACTTGACCCACACAGCTGGGATAGCAGCTGTCTGGAGATGCATTTAAGTCTTGACATTCAGGCTTCCACGTTCTATTAAATGCTGCACAACCAAAATACCACCAAGAAGGAAGAAATGCCAGTAAGAACAAAACACCCCACGTTGCCCTGTTTCACTTCACTTTTTGAAGTCACAAGCTCGCTACCCCACATAAACACAACTCAGCTGAAAACAAAAACAGAGGAAACTCCCAGTAACAAAACTCACTATATGTTACATAAGAAAAACACTTGTTCAGAAAGTGAATTAAGTCTTTGTCAACCATTCTGCAATTTTAAAAGGCAAAGGCAGCTGTCTTTTCAAGGTTTACGCTTCATCCAGGAAGACAATATAATATGGCAGCTAGTTAACTGTTTAATACCATGTTTTGAAGCACTGTATTTAAATACAGTGGTTACAGCATCATCTGAAGAACATGCCCAGAGCTGTTTGTCCTTAAACTATTTTAAGCTATTGAGGAGGATTGTGGAAACAAAAACAAAGGACAAGAAAAAAAAAAAGAATCAATCCTTATTCCAGAAACACCTTTATCGAGTCACCTAGCATTTCCTCTTACAACTAGGTTTAGCTCCTGTCTGTAGGTCAGAGCTGAGTCACTTTCCTGCTTGCCCCACAGCTACTCATGAGCTAAATTTTCAGTGTGACACCCAGTTTCCTACAGAAGATGCTCCAGAACTCAGGACTATTGCAATGAAACAACCAACTCAGAAGGATACCTGCTACTGTACAAGAATCAGACCGTCCCTCAGACAACTGCTGACCCTCTGCTCCTCCACAGCAACATTCCCACACAGAAAAAGTTGTGTCGTTTAATTACAGTTTGCTAAGAAGTGGCCCTTTCCTGGCTGAGCAAGACCTTGCAAATTTTTTTCAAAGAGAGGGACAGCAAGTTTTCCACATGCACGTGAAGGTTAGGGGCTTTTGTTTCTGAACACCTGAACACAGCACTGGGGACTCTTAGAGCTTTCAGCAGCTTCAGGGATTCGTGGGAAGCTCCAGTTTCAGATGGATTAAGCCAAAGGGTTGGTCCTGCATCACGCAGGAGACTCAGACTATCTCTAAGTGCCAACAAAGCTCTCCTTTGGAAAGCAAAGCACTTTACACATGTAAGGCTTATGTCCCAGCCCTCCCTCTCATCAGCACACTAAAACGTAGAGAGATGAAAGCTTAAAGTGTTTTGTTTTTTCTCAAGAATCCTAATATACACATTTCTCAGATGTTTGCTGTTGAACCTAAATCAAGCCAGTTGAGCAAGTCTTAAAAGTTCTTGTTGCAATTTTAACTGTGATAATTCTGTACATCAAAACAGCAGGGACATGGTAGCAGCCAGTGAGAACAGTAGGACAACCATAGTCCCCTGTGACAGGAACAGCTTTCCACATTAAAATCCATTTCTCAGATACTTAATCCAGTTAAAAGTTGAAGACAAATGTGCCCAGCACAGCAGCTTTTGCCTTTTTGCTAAGGAGGCCTTGCAACCCAACAAATGAATGCAGTATCCCTCAACAAACCCCTGACAGTGTCACCCTTCCCCAGCTACTTCCTATGGCTTCTCATCTGCCCCGAATTCCCTTTGGGGCATCTCCTCTCATCCAACAGCAAAGCCAGTCACAGGCAAACTCCCAGCAGAAGCCTGCAGGTTGTCTCCTAAGGAGAGAATATCACATACCAGCTGCTACAGCAGGTGTGATAAAGCCTACTAAATGGAGAAAATATATGACTCAATGGACTCACAGTACACAGGAGCCAGGTTATGGCCTTTCAGATCCTGCCTTATCTCACCTTAGACTTGTTTGTGGCTCACCTCACCCAGACCCGCACAGCTCCTCAGACACTATCTCTGGAATTCATTTCCCAGAGATCTCCTGCACTGTTCTACTTGCAGAGCAGTGGAAATCTCAAGCCACCTACTGAGCTCTGGTATTAGCACAGGGACAGTATGATCTGTGATAAAACAGTAATTTCAAAATAGGTCAGATTAATTATTCTGATGACTTTGATTACTTCCATACAAGAAATTTATACTGTGGCCTTAAG